CAAATCTCCTATTGTAGCAAAAGTTCGGGAGATTCGACAGTTGCTGAATGGTGGAATGAGTAGTGGAGCCTCAAATCGACAAGCCGAGGCCAATCAATGCGGTGCCTCTCTGCAACCGACACCAGAGCTATGCAACATCTTAAAACAATTACAAAATCTCATCAAATGTCTCAAACCAGATGCACAATTCAGTGGTCGTGATCTACAATCGGCGATTATCTGCATGCTACAAGTCCTGAAGACGATCATTCAATCCGGCTGTGTGGATCCTAGCGCATTGGAGAGAATAGGAAGTTTACTCAAGTGTTTGGAAAGTGAACTACTTAAACAATGCGAAGCTGCATCAGCTATTCTTCCAAAGGTGCGTGAGATTCAACAACTACTAAACAGAGGAAATGGCTGTGAAGGCTCCAGTCAACAACGCAATGCCTTCCAATACGGTAATGATCAATGCGGCACGTCCATAAAGCCATCGCGTCTTCTGACATGTTTGATTAAGCATATTCAAAATGTCATTCATTGTGTGAAACCCGATTTACAAGTTCCAAGCAGTGACTTGGAGTCAACTCTCCTGTTCCTGCTTAATCAGTTGAAGGAAATTATTCAATCAGGTTGTGTCAATCCCAAAGCCCTGGAGAAGGTTCCAAAGATGATGCAATGCTTGGAAACTGAGTTGCTTAATCAAGGACAAAGCAACTCACCAATTATGGCTAAAACTCGTGAGATTCGACAACTGTTGAGTGGAGGATTGAGTGGTGGATCCTCGAACAGGCAAGCGGACTTCAATCAATGCAGTGCCTCACTAAAGACGACACCTGAATTGTGTAAAATAATAAATCATTTGCAAAACATCATCAAATGCCTCAAACCAGACGTTCAATGCAGTGGTTGTGACTTACAGTCGACAATTATGTGTCTGTTGGACAACTTGAAGATGATAATTCAGTCGGGTTGTGTGGATCCAAGTGCATTAGAGAAGGTGGGCAGTGTGTTGAGGTGCTTGGAAGGTGAACTCTGCAAACAATATGAGGCAGCATCAAGTCTTCTAGTCAAGGTGCGTGAAATTCAGCAAATGCTTAACAGAGGAAATGGTTGTGGAGGCTCCAGTCAACAACGTTGTGGTGGCGGCGGCGGTTTTTATGACACCTCCGCACTCAAGGAGACTCCCACTCTGCGTTGTTTGGTAGTAGAACTTCAAAAAATTATTCAATGCCTTAAACCAGACATTCATTTTAAGAGCTGTGATTTGGAGTCCACATTTTTGTGCTGTTTAAAAATTTTGCAAGACATTGTTCCATACCAAAGTCTCCAATCCTCGGTTATGGGAAAGGTGAAGAAGATTTTGGATTCGCTTGAATGCGAGATGTGTGATCAAGGCCTGTTCCAGTCAAATCTCCTAACAGCCATCATGGATGTCAAACAGATGATTAGTAATCAAAAATCTGCTTTTGATCCGACATGTGGAGGTGAAAGTCTGGAAGATGTTGTCAGTAGGACTGTAAAGACAATGGATGAATGCATTCGAGAGTTGGAATATGTTCTACGTGATTTTGTGGGTAATGGAGGATGTGAACAGAATGACAGAGGTCCTTGTTTTAGTGGCAATAATGACTGTCATGCATGAAGGTGACAAGGCGAACTGAGAGGTGAAAAAAAAAAAAAAACTTATTTTTCTTCCACTCCTCACCCCTTTCTCCCTTTTCCCCCCTCCTCCCTCCCCCGAAATGGAACACATGACTGTTCTACAAACTTCCTATTCATTTCTTACACAACCGAAATAAAGTCTTTTTTTCCTTTTTATTCGTTATTTTATTTTATAATTTTGCCTTTTCTGTATTTTAAGGTAAATTTTAGTCCTCTTCATAGGCGGGTTGAGGGGAATTGGCGGTGGAAGTTGGGTTGTCAGCACGTGATGTGGGGTTGACGCATTGATTTTTACACGGTGTGGTGTGGATACCGCCGTCTGGAATGCAGAAGGAATGCGATCTGAAGGAGGACTTTTCCAGTGGAGTTCCTGTAGATGGAAATAGGAACAGTTGTGAGGAGAAAGAAGAGGAGGCTGAGGAGGCTGGACTGAGTGAAGAGGATCAGGCTCCGGTGTTGTTACAGGTCATCAATTCTATCAACTCAAATGAATTTGTAAGTATGGATTGTGAGAGAGCATTTGGTGAGAATTATGAAGGTGAGGATTATACACACGGTGAAAATTCTCCCTCATCATCCAATGGTGAAAACATTAGACGAATTATTTGTCGTTTAAAACAAAGTGCAACTGAGATTACCCAAGCTTTGAATACGCCTGAACAGGTTGATGGTGGTCAGAGGTGTGATCAAGTGAAGCTCATCACGTCTTCAAGACACATTCAACAACCATGTAATGAGGAGGGAGAGGGAAATATGGGCGCATCGCCTTCCCCAGAAGATGGAGGACAATTTGGCGCATGGGACAATTGTGATTGGCCAAGAGAAAACATTCAAAGAGGAGCAGCAATGCCTGCTTGTGGACAAAACAGTCTATCATCAGTTGATGAACCGATCCAATCCCTGTGCACCGCAATGCGTGAGATTGAAAAGGTCATTCAATGCATCGGTGCATCGAGAATGGAATGTCCACCAACTACACCCTCCTTAAAGTCGTCACCGTATTCTCAAGGATTCTTAAATTCGCCTCAATTACACGAGTGGATAGGGCTTCTTCAAAATCTGGCTCAATGTATGCAACCTAATGCGCAATTTCCCAACAATGACTTCAAGAGTATGATAATGTGTACAGTGAAGATTCTACAAGACATTGAAAAGTCTCTGGAAGACCAGGAGTTCAAGACGTGCACCACACATGCCTTTCAGCCAAGGAGCAACGGCCACTGTGGTGAATATGCGGACAAACCTCCCATAATCGGTTCGGATGTAAAAGAGCTCACCGAGTCACCTCTACTCTCAAAGGTGATTGAAATGCTTGAGAAGATTGTTCTCTCCCTTCGACCCAATGCAACTCTTGTGGGCTGTGATCTCGATTCTTGGCTCTCTTGCCTATTGTTGATTGTGAAGGATATTGTACAAACTGAGTGTCTTGACTCATGCAAATTGCAGACATTTGGAAAGCTTTTAAAATGTCTTGAAGGTGAAATATGTCGACAAGGTAAAGGGGATTCGGATCACCTATTAACAATCCACAGCATTCAAGCAACCCTTCGAATTTTGAACGGTGAAGTTGACACAGACGGACATTGTGCACCTACACAATGTGAAGTGACATTGCAAAAGACGCCTCAACTTGTTGACATTATAACGCAACTTCAAAATCTCGTTTTATGCAGTAGACCAGATGCGGTATTTCCAAGTTGTGACATTCAATCCACCATTCTTTCAATAATACTCTTTTTGAAGGATAGCATTCAATGCGGAATTGTCAATGTCAGTGTGGGAGAGAAGATGATTCAACAATTGGTTAATCTTAAATGTGAGGTAATGAGACAAGGCTTGAACACTTCCACACTGACAGACACTATTCAAGAATTGCAACAGTACATCGAGGAAATGCGGTGTTCTCGAGGGCGTCAAATGGATCCCTGTCAAACGAGTTTAAAGGAGACGCCTAATTTGTACAAAATTGTTGTCATACTTCAAAAGGCCATCCAACACATCAAAAATGATGCTCAATTTGCATTTTGTGATTTGGAATCGAGGATTTTGGGACTGTTGAAGATATTGAAGGACACATTGCAGTCCGTGTGTCCGGATGAGAAGGTAGTGAAACGGTTGGAGAAGGTAATGCGATGCCTTGAATGCGAGGTGTTCAAGCAGGGCATACACCAATCCGCTATTAACTCAGCCATCGTTGAAATTCAACAGAGTCTACAAAAATTGCAGACAAATGAGCCAGGCGCGTGGAATCAGGGTCGTGGAGTAATTAGAGAGACACCTCAAATCACCGAGGCGATAGGAAAGCTGCGTGAACTCATTCAATGCATGACTCCAAGCGTTTCAATGCTAGGCTGTGATATTGGAACAATGCTTGTGGGTCTGCTAGGTGTTTTGAAGAAAGCAATCACACCGACAACTTCTATGCCCGAGACAGTGGAAAAGATGCGTCAAATGCTGAAGGGTCTGGAATGCGAAATACGCAATCAAGGGGCTTGTGAATCCAAAGTCCTAGACTCCATCCACGAAATTCAGTACATTTTAACTCAAAGTGCCAACACTCCTCAGATGCCCAGTAATGAGGCATTTTGGAGGGCCTTGAACTCTCTAATCACCGCCAACACTTCCATCAAAAATTTGGAACAGAGATTACGTCGAGTTGTTGAGTCGCCTTTACATTCTAAGGAGGTGTCTGTTGGAAGGGTAGTTGAATACAGTGGAGCTTGTCAGTATAATCAAGAATCAACAGCTCCTCCATCTGCTGAAGCTCCAATTCCAGTGGAATATAC